GATACAATGACAAGATTTGTTGAAAAATCATTAATACCCTCTTAAAGACTATATTTGGGCAACTTAAATCCTTGCAATAATTACACCATCAAACGCTAAAAGTGGGAGGTAAAAATACAAAAAGACGGAAGGACTGTTGGAATAGGCAGCTCCAGACACTCGGCCTGCTTAAGCACTTAGTGCACATTAAGTGCCTGGGATTTGGATTGTGTACTCCCCGCCACTTGGCCGTCTGCCCAATCCATTCCAGGCCGCCTCTTCAACAGTCCAAATCTCCTCCATTGCCCTTTTCTTCAACCGTCTTCGAAGTTAACTGACACTTGCACTTGCACTTCTCAAAATCAAATGCATTCAACTTTGGCTTGAGTCCTTCAGCTCGAGTAACTTTCAATTTTAAAGAGGTTTAGCCATAGGCAGGGCCGAAGTATTGCTAATAAATAAGATTATAAAATATTATTTATTAAGTAAAATCTGCCAAGTTATCTATTCATAGTGTATAGACTTATTATTCAATTTTTAAATAAATCTCAATCTATATTTTCACAAAAAAAAAGTTTTAAAAAATGATTAATATTTTTAAGGTTACATTTTATTTATTAAAATAACCATCATGCATTTTTTTACAAGAAAGGTACCTATAAATGTGATTCAACAAGTGGTTTTTATATTTTGTTATATTTCCTATAATCAGGACATTTTTTTTCAAATTTTGTAGTAAAAGGTGAGCAACGATACATTCTATTTAATTTAAGCCAATCACTGCAGGTTGCTTCTTTTCCACCAAACTCCCTTATCTCCTTCTTTCCATTGATCAAGGCGTAGATTGTTGGTTTATTTTTATTTTTAGCAAAGAAGTTGCGTGGATAATGCATGATACTTTCATAATCATACTTAACATCATAGGTGTATGCATGATCTCGAATTTTAAAGTTGTGTTCCATGTTTTCAACAATATTATCCTCTGAAATCACTATGTGTTTATCTCTATCAATTCGGCACTGTTCGTGGTTAAGTCCCAAAGCATGGAAAGTTTCATGCTGGATCACCATTTTGTTTTTTGTACTCTTTTTATCCAATTCCAATTTCAATTCTTTTGAAAAACCGACAGGTGATTGATTGTTACTTGTTATTATGTAACTAATGTGAGGAATACTACTATTGATTTCGACTTTCACAAATTTGATGCAGGTAAAACTTGTAATTTCATCCAATGATTTTTTGACTTGAACACGCTCTTCCTCATCATAATCCAGAGAAAATGAGTAATGTACTATTCCGTAAGGCCATAGTTGGGAAGGGGTCTCGGATCTGGGGTTTTTTCCCGTTCGTTGTTCCAGATTTTTCCCAACGCTACAAAAATAGTCACTGGTTTTTTCACTGCTAGGAGCCATTAGTCCAGGTCCCGCATTCAGCCCGACCACGGTTAAAAACAGGAGCACAACTGATTTAAGAAACATTTTCCTTCGACTTGTGAAGAACCCTACAGTTGCTAGTCCTTTTTATAGTGGGTTCTGGGCATAATATTGTTAAGGGTTATTCCAGAAATTCGAACTATTTTACATTTTTAAATTATTTTCAATTTCAGGAATCATTATTTCAAAAAGAAATATTTTTCAATTATTACAACCATTTTGTTATCTAATACTTATATTAAATAACGAGTTTCTTTAAGTTACAAAATACTTTGTTGCTAGCAACAACTACCAAAGTAGCAATAATAATAAGCAAATGCTTTCAGAACTGTGGGCCTAAATTTAGAAGTTAGCTCATTTTTTTGATTCTTTCTTTGTAACCACTATCACTGTCGTACATGTGGTCCTCTGATTGTTTATCATGGATAGGAACCACGTGTACTTTGTAAAGCCATCCGAAATAGAAAATCCACCAGCTAAGGAATATTTCGATTGAGGTAATTAACACATTCTGTTTTTTAAGCTGAAGCTGATTCATATTCAAAGCTGACTTCTACTGGTGTTTTAAATGTGAATTTCAAATAGACAATAGACAAGTTGTGAGATTATAAAAGTACTTATTATAAAATGCATGATTTATGTACTTAGTCCAATAGCTTTGTAGTTAACTGCACAATGTTAACACTTTCCTTTCTAAGATTAAAGCCCGCATTTGGGTTGCATACTTCATGTGCCCATCACGAAAAATGGACCATAAATTCAAAAAATATTTTGTCTCAGGATTTTCATGCAGAATGGTGGAGAATCGATCCCAAAATCGATTAAGGCTTGAGAATCGGATATGGATTCGGGAAGATATAGCCATCACAGTGGACCCTATAGGAGAAAACCCCATTTTCAAGGGATCCGAAAAATGGAAAAAAAATCTAAAAAATATTTTGTCTCTGGATTTTGATGCAGAATCGTGTGGAATCGATCCAGAAATCGTTTAAGGTACTCCGCTTGAGAATCGGATCAGGATTGGGGAAGATATAGCCAACACTGTGGGCCCTATAGGGGAAACCCCACCATTTTTAAGGGTCCCATCGCGAAAAATGGACAAAAAATCTAAAAAATATTTTGTCTCAGGATTTTGATGCAGAATCGTGTGGAATCGATCCAGAAATCGTTTAAGGTACTCCGCTTGAGAATCGGATAAGGATTGGGGAAGATATAGCCATCACTAAGGGCCCTATAGAGGAAAACCCCATTTTCAAGGGTCCCATCGCGAAAAATGGACAAAAAGTCTAAAAAATATTTTGTCTCAGGATTTTGATGCAGAATCGTGTGGAATCGATCCAGAAATCGTTTAAGGTACTCCGCTTGAGAATCGGATCAGGATTGGGGAAGATATAGCCAACACTGTGGGACCTATAGGGGAAAACCCCATTTGTCCATCGTGAAAAATGGACAAAAAGTCTAAAAAATATTTCGTCTCTGGATTTTGATGCAGAATCGTGTGGAATCGATCCAGAAATCGTTTAAGGTACTCCGCTTAAGAATCGGATCAGGATTGGGGAAGATATAGCCAACACTGTGGGCCCTATAGGGGAAAACCCCCTTTTCAAGGGATCCTACACGAAAAATGGAGAAAAAATCGAAAAAATATTTTGTCTCAGGATTTTGATGCAGAATGGTGGAGAATTGGAACAGGATTGGAGGAGATGTTTTCATTACCGTGGACCATATCGGCCCCGCCCGCAGATAGCTTTCCTTTCCTATTATTGAAAATATACTCTTTATTTATGCATTACCGGCAATTAAATGGAATTTTGTTTTCACAACTGTATAAACGATTAATTTTTATCCAGTCAGATCGTGTTGGTTTTGGGGAACCAAAATCATACTCTACTTTACTTCCATTCTCGCAGCGGTAGATTGAGTTTTTATTAGGGTGTGCAAAAGCATTTTTAGGATAGTGCATAAAACTTTTGAAATCGTAGGGCATCCCAAACGAAGTTGTATTATTCTGCTTTTGAAAGTTAACCATCTTATCCCCCGGCACATTTTCATCTTCGATAGCAACATATATGTCGCGATCATGCCGGCTTTGCTCATGATGAAGGCCTAGCACGTGGAATGTTTCATGTAGTACAGCAGTGGAGTTTTTACGCCCGAAATCGTCCAAGCTAACAATGTGGGGTTTTTTATAGCTGTGAAATCCTACAAGCGTAAAAGAACCCATTTGGTTAGGAATATAGCTTATATTTGGTAGTCCTGTGATAGATTCATCTATATCAACGAAAGTAAGGCAGGTACATTCGTTGATCGCCTCTAAGGATTTATTTACAACTGTTTTCTCTTCAATTGAAAATGACGGATCAATGTTATAGTAGAGTGTCTTGCAGGGCCATATCAGGTTTTCGGAGACCGCGTTTCGAGAATGACCCATTTGTTTCCCATCCACATCCACGACAAAACAGTAATAGTCATTGGTTTTTGTTCCACTGGTGGCCGTCACTCCAGGTCCAGTGTTCAGCAAAACCACGGTTGAGAATAGTAAGGTAATTGCTTTAAGAAACATTTTTATTTGATTTGTGAGGAAACCTACACCTTGAAGCCCCTTTTATTATAGATACTGGGCACAAAATTGGAAAGAGATATGCCAGCAATTCTTATTATCTTGAAAAATGTCCACAACTTGTCACAAAATGTTTTGTAATTATTAAAACCATTTTTTTTATCAAATTTGTATATTACAAAATGTAAATGATTTTTTATCTCAAACTCTATTTCTTTGAAAGGAAAACATTTCATTATGTGAATTCCGTTCCATGGTTGCCTGATCCTTGGTCATAAACTGGGGCTACAGGACAGCGGCTGATAGCCCTTGAGAAGCAGAGCCCTCGATTCTACGAAAGGCGCACAGGTTTGTTCACTAAAACTGGAAATGGCCGTCCTTAGATTGGCCACTCCCTTGAATCAATCAATGTAGTCCTTGAATATCCCATAAAATCTATTTTTGCACGTCTATTGATATATTGAAAAAGCGGAAGCTTGGATTTCGTTGTAGTAGTTCTCGTAGGGATCGATTTACAGGATTTCAAAAAGCCAGCAAAAAGCAACATTTAATTGAGAAAATTAAAATATTATTTTTTTCAAGCTAAAAGCTGATTTTTATTGAAAGCTTATTTCTGCTCGTGCTTAATTAATTAAGTTAATTTCCATTAGACAGTACTAGAGACTCGAAATTAATAAAGTACTTTTTTATTCAAAAATTTGTAATTTATTCATATCAACAGCTTTGTAAAGATACCCGACACTTGTGTGCCACTTCTGCTGGGTCATTCAACTGGCTTGAGTTTAATTTATTAATTATTATTTACATTAAACTATTAAAAGGCTGGAAAAACTATTTTCCCTCTGTTAACCCAAAATGGCCACAATTATAATTTAATCCAATTAATTTTTGAAAAGAAAGGAAGGAAGTTTAGAAAGTAAAAGACAATTAATAATAATAAGACTCATTATTTTATTTTCTTTCAATATTTTAGATTTTACATTTCTAACTTTTTTTTAAATTAACACTTTGGTAATTTAATTTTAGTTGCATTTTAGTAGCATTTTTCTGGAATTTGCTCTTCTGGTCTATTACAATTGTACAACCGGCTTATTTTTTTCCAGTCAGACAGTGCTGGTTTTTTTGAACCAAAATCTCTCTCGACCTTAACTCCATTTTCCAATGCGTATATTGTGGTAGCACCATTGCGAGAAAACGCATTTTTAGGGTAGTGCATAATGCTGTTGTAATTGTATCCCACATTCAATGATCTGGTATCACGTCGGCTCTCGAAGTTACCCTTATTTATTTCCCAGCGGTCAACGTTTTCCTCTTCGATAACAACATAATTATCGCGATCATGCCGGGTGTGCTCGTGAAAAAGGCCGAGCATATGGAATGTTTCATGTAGTATAGTCTCTGTATCACTACGGTGATCTTTGCTCAAATAAATCAAATGGGGTGTCTTATTACTGTATCCTACAATCGAGCTTGACGAATCAGATGGAACATAGCGTACATTTGGTTGGTCATATAATCCTAGCTGAGGGAACTTTACAAATTCGAGGCAGGAACACTCGTTGATAGTCTTTAAGGCTTCATCAACTGTCGTTACCTCTTCTTCCGAAAATGACGGATCAATGGTATAGGTTAGGGACGTAGAAGGCCAAACCTTTCCATCCATCACCGCGTTACGAGTATGACCGATATCCGAATCAACGACGGAGCAATAGTAGTCATTGGATTTTGCTTCACTGGGGGCCATCAGTCCAGGTTCAGCGTTCAGCAAAACCACGGTTATGAAAAGTAAGGCAATTGGTTTAAGAAACATTTTACTTCGATTTGTGAGGAACCCTACACCTTGAAGCCCCTTATATAGTAGTTACCGGGCTAAAAATTGTAAAGGGCTATGCCAGCAATTCTTATTATCTTAGAACATTACTACGGCTTGTCACAAAATATTTCTTTATTATTACAACTTTTTGTTATCAAATTTGTTTATTAAAGAATTTCAAAAAGTCAATTACTTTGTTGAAAAAAACTAGACACACGTGTTTAAGAATTGTGGTTTTGAAATTAAATGTCATGGAGTGTTATTTTTATGGGCTTCTTTGTAGTGGGGTTGATTCCGTTTTTTTCACTTTCCAAGTCGTTTTGGTATGTTTCCATTTCATTTAGCACTTGTACATAAGACGAATCTTGGTCCAGTCACCTTCTGAAGGTCCTCGCACCTGGCCCATGTCTCTTTCCACCGCCTTGCCCTCCACCAGGGCGCGGATGGTGGGCTTCGAGGGATCCTTGGCGAAAGCATTCTTCGCATAGTGCATAACGCTCTCGTAGTCGTAGGGGACATTGTATGTGGTCGTTTGATCCATGGTCATGAACTGGGACCAGTACTTTCGCGGAATATTGTCATAGTCGATCTGAACATACTCATCGCGATCGGGACGACTTTGTTCGTGGAAGAGGCCCAGCAGATGGAGGGTCTCGTGCTGGATCACTGCCGGCATGGTGAGGCATCGCTCATTGAGGAGGACATCGTGGGGCCCGAAGGACAGTGGCTGATAGCCCACCCGGGTGCCACACATATTCGGAGACTTCTTAAAGTACACATACCGCTTGCCCCCAGGTGCAGAGCCCTCTACTTCTTCGAACTGCACACAGGTTTGTTCACCGAAACTGGCCATGGCAGTCCGGACATTGGCCACTTCCTGCTCGCTGTAGTCCTGAGATATCCTGTAGTATATCTTGTTGCCCGGCCAGCGCTGGAGAGGCGATTGCAAGGCATTCCGGGTCTTGGCTTCCGCTTCATCGTCGTCCACGTGGATTTCGTTGTAGTAGTTCTCGTAGGACTCGATGCCCTCGGAGTCCACAGAGCCAGCTCCCAAAGCCACCAGAAATATAAGACCCACCAGGTGAAGGAACATTTCGGTTCAAGTGACCCAAACTGAAATGCGAGTTAGCTTTTATAGGCTTTCAATTAAAAGTTAGTTATCAGTTTTATTTCTGCCTCGAAAATGGTATTTAAATTTAGTTTCTACAATAAATACATTCAGACAGCTCAGACATTCTTCGTTTCAAACTCAAGAACACTGTGCAACAAAACACTGAATTACTTTAGAGCGCATAATTTTTCAAAGCTGATTGCTGCGAGTGCTTTTAAGGTGACTTCCCAATTGACAATTAGTTGCAAGATTTAATTAATATTTGTTCACCATTGGACCTTTAAGTTATTCCGACCAACAGCCGTGTAGTTTGTTGCACAATGTAATTAACCAATTCACCCTTCCAGATTAAAGCCTGATTTCCATAAAATATCGCTCTTTAAAATCCACTTGCAGTTGCTTATTTTCTAGGGTTGCGATTCAAGCATTTGCATAGATACATAGATACAATTATTTTTAGGTTTCCATGTCTTCATTCAATGCACTTGGCTCAGAAGTGGTGTTAGCGGCTTTGGTTTTCTGCATTAGACGGTAACCATCGAAGACATTTTCCTGCTAAGCTAGGCCCGTGGGTTCTACGAAAAATTCAGCCGTTCTAGAGCTAAAATGACTAAAGTTTCTAAAATATTCTACTAGGCTAACCGATATTCTCATTTGATGGTTAAAAGTTAATGCAAAAAATATCTTATATTCTCTCAAAGCCAATTGACAATTCCTTCTAATAAACTTGGTGTTTGAAAAGTTTTTCCAATAAACCACATCTAGACTCGGATTGCACAGAAATTTCGGGCCACGATTGTTAGATACATTTTATATATTTCCAAAACATAGATTTCTCGTTTATAAGTTAACGAATCACTTTGATGGGATCTGTGGGGGTGGTCGGTATACTTTAGTTTGTGGTTGCTTTTTGGTTTAAGATTTAGTTTGTTTTTATTTTCCGCCGGCCTGAACGTGATTGCGGCAGCTCTGAGGAGTCGCCGGAGATTAGCCGGCCGGGTAATTAAAATTAAGCTGCCCAATCACGCCTCGGCGCTCGGGACATATAGTTAAATGTACATACAGTATTACTTTAATCATAATTCATATATAAAATAGAATAGCAAGAACACATTAAAAAAAAAGAAATATCAAACACAAGTTCCTTGCCAAAATCAAAGACAGCAATTCGTTTTTCCAAGAGCTTTTCTTTGCGTTGATTTCTTGTTTCTTTTTTAGTGGTTTCAGTTGTCGTTGTCAGTGGTTGACGTTCGTCGAATTCGTCCTGATGGCCTGATCCGTCGATTCAGGCACTTTGCTTGCTAACATCACAAATCAGTTCCCAGTCGTTAGTACGATTTTAGCTCCCGTGTCTTCCTCCTCCATGTCATCCTGATTCAGCATAGTTTTAAACTTTCTCTCTCTCTCTCCATCTTTAAATGTACATTATATAGACGGTAGTCGTAGCAGTAGTAGTATAGGTATATTATTAGTGGATGGCGGGCGGGCAGGCGGTTGATCGGTTGCTCTAGCGAGTGATCGAGTGAGCGATTGAGTAAATTGGGTGCTTGACTCCCTACAGTCCAGTCCTCGTCCCGATCCCTTCCTTTAGTGCAGCTCGATGAACTCGTAGAGAGTGGCCGGCACAGTACCCTCGTATCGAATGTCGTGCTTCTTGATCGTCCTAGCGGCCAAGCACGCCAGCGTCGTATACTTCATGGGATCGACCACCTTGTGCATGGGTGTGGGGTACAGCAGGCTCTCGAAAGTCTCGCCAGCATAATTTTTGGTGTCCTAAAACAAGGACATTCGTCAATACATCAATACATGAAAGTTCAAAAGTCTCAATTACTTACCAAATGCGCGCCTCCCTCGAGCAGGATATGAGACAGGGGCTCTACGAAGGGCTGCATGGTGGCCAGATGCAGCGGTGTGTTGCCCGCCTCGTCGATGGCATTCGGGTCGGCGCCCACTTCCAGCAGGGCCTTTGCCAGACTCACTGACGGGAACTGGCAGGAGGGATAGCGGCCAGCCAGCGTGCCCTCCCTGTAGCAGGCATAATGCAGAGCCGTCCGATCGAAGCGGACGCGAACTTTTAAACGATTCAGGCGGTACAGGGCTGCCATCACCTGCCGCCGCATCTCCGGTGTCAGGCTTGTGGTGTCTAGAAGAGAGCTCAGCAGACAGCCTATGTGAATGGCACTTATCATGGTGCGACTCAGGGCGTTGGGGTCATGGTTGCAATCGTGCTGGTGTGCCGATAGCAGCGTTGTCGAGGATGAGGCGGATGCGGATGATGCAGCAGAGGATGATGACGAGGAGGAGGAGGACGACGAGGAGCAGGACGATGACATGCCAGCTGCGGGCAGCTGCTTCAGAGGTTGCTGCTGGTCCTTTTGCTGCTCCAGGTTGAAGGCCTGGCCCCGCTCCACCTCCTTGACTGCCTTGTAGAAAATGGTCAGCATTCCCTCCGTCTCGATGGGCGGAACAACGCGACCTCTGGGCAGAAGACGACCCGCCTCCACCAGCATGAAGCTGAACAGCTCGGCAAAGGACAACAGCGAGGACTGGGTCATCGGGCTGAGGGGCTGAAGGATTTTCTGTTGCATGGTGAGGGCGTACGACCAGAGCTCGATGCAACGGTCGAAGCGTCCAGCGTCGGCATAGTGAGCTCCCCTGCGAGAAAGATTTGGTTGCACATCAGACATGGAAAAAGGCATGGTTTGTTTTCATCCTCACCTGAATCGAATGTAGTAGCTGGTGTCGGGATGAGTGGGCCCCAAGATACGCTGCCTAATGACCAGAGCCTGCATTCGCATCTCATCGGGGTCCAACACCATCTCCTCCAGCTCCTCGATGTTGGTCACCTCGCGGACCATCTCGTAGGCAGCCACTGGTTCCTGAACCTTCTTCTCCAGCGGCGGCTCCAGAGCCCGCTCTTCCAGCGCCCGACGCCACAGCGACAGAGCCGCAGCCATGTCGCGCTTCCTGTCCACGTAAGTGGCACCCAGCAGCTCCAGAGCGTGAATGCGCGACTCTCTGCTGACGCAGGGCAGCGTGATAAGGTGCTCCACGATGGGCATGTGACCGGTGACACTGGCCGCCAGCAGCGGGGTCATTCCGTAGTAGTCCACGTCCATGGTGGCGCCGTGCTTGAGGAGTAGCTGGAGGATCTGAAGGGATCCGGACTCTGCGCAGTCATGCAGCGCTGTGTTTCCTTTCACACTGCAGCGGTTGACGTCGGCGTTCAGGGAGAGCAGATACTGGGCGATGCGGAAGTGGCCCTTGTAGCAGGCGATCATGAGGCAGGTGTGTCCGTGACGGTTCGCCACTTCAAAGTCTGCGGAGGAAGGGATGCATTAGATGTGCAGTTAATATTGACATCTTAGAGGCTTACCCGCTCCATGGTGCACTAGATACTTGACGATCTCGTAGTGTCCGTCGAAGCAAGCCGCTCTCAGCGGCGTCGAGTTCGTCCGAGTGGTGCTGTTCACGTTCGCTCCCCGGCGCACGAGCATCTTGACGATGCCCAGGTGGCCGGCGGCCGCCGCACACCACAACGGTGGCGCATCCTCGATGGGCTCCCCGTCGAAGCTGACGGAGCCAACCTGCTCCACATTGGCCCGACACTTTGTCAATAGATATTCTACAATGTCGTAGTGTCCGTTCCGGCACGAAATCACCAGCGGAGTGGCTCCGTTGACCTTTGCCGAGATCAGGCTGCCCACTTCGCTGGCACTCTTGTTGTACAGGGTGGCCTGAAATTAGAAACATCGCAGTACTTCATTAGTTTAACTCTCGAATGGGGTATTTTGTGTGTTTTAATCCGACAATCTGGTCTGATTTAGTTATCAAAAAGTCCATTAATGCCCCCCACAATCTCAAGTAGTCCGGGTGATGGCGTATGTGTAATTATCAATGAATGTTAAGCCACTATAATTAGCGAGGTTGTGCAATAAATTAGTACTTTTTGATAAGAAAGTAGACTGAGCTACTAAAGAAAGAGGTTTATAGTTACTGGTTTTAATTTAAAATATATATTAAAGTTTGTATTCTTATCAAGAGATGGATCATGTTTCTATAAACCATTGTAATTGTTTTCAATGCGATTCTGAACTTCCCATCCCAACCCAGTTAGTCATTCTATTAATATTTTAGAGCCATGCCCGATCAGCTGGCCTTAACACAGATCTAAATCCCATAAAGGTTCCAATTAGAAACCAATTCTATTTAATAAAGAGAAAAAACCCCGATTATAATTTATAATTGCAGTCAAACATAGGTATGATGACGAACAAAGCAAACTGCTGACGGGAAAATATTATTCTCAGGCCACCTGGGCAGGAGGAGATAACAGGTCGGGAGAGAGGCCCCCAAAGAGATATAGCCCGATTTTAAGAGAAATAGATAATGCCAGTGGTTCTCTATCTGGCATGCTAATGATTTTTATAGCAGCCTGTTTTTTTTTTTTATTTATTTCTTGTTCGCTTGCCGATTTGAAATTGAAATTCATTTGTGTCGAACGTGTTTCATTTTTATGCTAATTATGCTGTGCGCGTGCAAGGGGGAGGCTCACTGGGAGCGGGATTTCTAAGAGGCCGGCCGCCGGATAGACATTATCGACAGCGATTTCCATACAACATTTTCATGGAACGATATGGGCACGAGTTAAGATCAAGGAAATAAAACTTATTGGGTGAGAAACCTTGACGAGAAATGCGTCAACCTGCTGAGACAATAACACGGACGACCCGGAGTCCATCAGGCCCAATTAGAACCCCTCCGGACAGAGCCACTGGACAACTGCTGAGAACCAGAAAAAAGTATAGAGTCAACAAAGACAAGCAAACATGAGCCATATAGATGATATCAGCCGAAAGATAGCAGGCTATAGACACAGCCGAAGACCTTCAAAGTGACGTGCGGTAATAGTACTCAGTCAAATGAAATTATTATAAAATGGAAAACAATTAAGAAGAAAATTAATGCAATATTTTAGGAATTCGGAGGAGGAAACCCCACCAACCACCAACCCAAATATTTTATTTAATTTTCTCTCACGCTCTATTTGGCTTCTAGAATCGTGTTTTGGTAGGAAGCTCTTGATTGCTTCCTTGGTTGCGCAAAAGAGACCTTACTTTTGGCAACTCAGACAGGGCGGCATTCTTTGTTTCGATCCCCGTTGAGCCCCTTGAACCGCCGCCCGGCGCGTCATACCAATCAGCGCCTCGTGCGCGTGACAAGAAAAAAAAATACAACACAACCCAAAACAATAACAAAGCACAGCCTCAGAATAGAAAAACAAATTGAAAAACATTTTTGGCAAGACTATTAAGCAGAGAACGTATTTTGAAAATATATGGGGAATATTGGGGAAAAGTCTCCTCGGAAGCCCAAACAAATCGAACAATGAGAATTACGCATTAATTTTCGCATTTCACATTCGGGTGAGAAAGCAGAATCATTAATATCCGAAATAATCAGAAATATGTGTGTTTACAGGGCCCCGTCATCGTCCGTTCCATTTTATTGGCTACTGAACTTTTCGCTTTCTGGCCCTGGGGCTCTCTGGGGGATCATCAGCAGCTGCTGTCTTCTTTTCCGCATTTATGATCAATTATGATTAAGCTTTGACAGCCATGAGTCAGCTGTGTGAGTCTGAAATCAAGAGTGAACTAAAAACAGAGTACTAGCTACGATTCCTGACAAGTTAAGGGGCTCTACAAACCGATAATTTTGTTAATAAATAATGTTTATGGCTCTTTAAAGCTGTAAGGTGTTGGGAGTCAAGTCTAGCACTTAAATCATTCTCCCGCTTTGACGTTTCACTTTTTGTGGGTTAGCTTCTATCTGCCTGCCTTTTGGCCATCGATTCAACCTTGTTAACCAGCCAGGTTGCCGAAAAAACCAGCCAACAAAATGAAAAGTCAATCCGACAATGGAGGGAGGCGGTTCTAGTGGCCCACAAAGCCAGCGGCACGTGAACTATGGGCGTTGCACAGGGTACGGATGGCCAGGCAGGTTAGCGGATGTGCCACTGGCACCGAAGAAAATCAATCAATGGCTCTACAGGCCACTCGACATTATGCCATAATACATTTAACCCCAACGACATTGGTTCATTGGCCTCGTTGGCTGGAAAAACAGACCACTTTCCATCAAGAAATTGATCCAAATTATGGGAAACTTTTCACTTGTTCTGGTTGAGGTTGCTATGAAATAATAATCAGTATCATTAGGCGAGGCATGGAACATGCTATTATTGCTATTAAAGGATGTTTACTAGTTACACTAGATATTTACTCTCAGCCATGCAAGTTAATATCTGCTTTTGTGGATTTTAGCACATGCATTCAATTCTACACCCTTGTTGAATATTTTCCAGCAGCAAACACACATTATACTAATAAACTCTTTGCTTTTCCACTTAATTTGGGTAAATTTACTGGGGGGGACTCACTGAAAATCCCCAAAAACCTGAAGATCCCCCCCACAGGGCCATGAATGAGAAACCAAACAAACGGGCCTATACGTATAAGTGCACTGAGCCAAGTTAATTTATGATTCCCCATCATACATGTATATACTTTGCCTTGCACCAGAGAATAAACATTTTCACTTCCGAAAAATGGAAATAAATTTCCTTTTAATTTGTTTTCTGTTGTTTGGCAAATTGGTGAAATGTGAAAACAACAGAATATGTCAGATAAATGGCGTTTTCCCAAGGCAACGTTTTGTTCTCTAGAGGGAGAGGAGGTAGAGTGGTGGAAACACCTTGAAACACCTTTTACCGCTATACCGCTCAAATGTCAGGCCAAAACGGCCTAAACACAGCTATTAAATTAAAGCAACAACGCGAACAAACATAGGTTAGCGAAAAAAAAAATTGTTCGTTTCCGTGTAATAAACAATAAACAACTTTCCATTGTTGTTGGTCATGGCAGTGGCTTAGATTCATAAAGGGGGGGTTGTTATAATACCCTAGGGGCTAGGCTATACAGGTTTGGTATTTGAATATTCGGATATTGGGTGGTAGCCCCCCTCTTTGAGTAGATTTGGATTCGCTTTGTGATCAATTTTCTGCCTTTGACCGCTTGGGCTGCCCGCTCGAGTCCCTCACTTCTTCTCTAAAAGCCGCACACGCATAATTTATTATAATTTTGACATTGAACGAGTTCAATGTCGATGATATGCAAGTAGACAACGCTTTAGACTCAAGTTCAGCGCCAGACGGACGGACGGACGGACAACTTCGATTCAATTCAATTTGGGATGCCGTTCGACCGACCAACCATTCCATTCGACCGTTCAACCGCCGACCATGTGCGGTGCTCGGCCAGAGAGCTCGCATTTCGGGGCTCGGCATTCAAATCAGTCCGGGCCAAGTCGAACAGAGGCGACTTGACGGGCATTATTTGGTTTATTTGTTAGCTAAACGGCGACTGCGCGGCCGGCTCAAGGGTGACAGAACGGCAAAGGCTGCAGTCATAAAGAGCGGGGGAGCCAACGCCAAACTGAGCGAAAAAAATGCAAAAAAAATAAACATTCAGGGAAGGAAATCAACAGCAGGTACATCATAAAAGGTGAAAAAATAAAATAAATCAATAAAGAGCTTCTATACCAGCTAATGGCTACACTGCATCCGTCAGATACTTTCTGACTGCGCAGTCGCAGCGGCAGCCGCAGCATCATCATCAAACTTTGAGGTCAACGGTGCTTTTAACGGAGCATCTGCGAGGTGAGGGAAGCAAAACTGGTTCAATGAAAGGGTTCACATTAGAGCATACTGCCGGCAGTGTCAAGGTCAAGGTTGTTGGAATGTCCAAGTCTCATGCTCAGTCTGAGACTCAGTCTCGAGCTCAGGGTGTTTAGATTTATGGAAAAATACTAATTCATTAAATGAAGCGTGGAAATTTTAGGCATGCGCTCTTCAAACGCCATGGCTTATATCTTTTGTGTATCAATGGGATTCATGTTTTTTGCTCCGGCGAAAAGATAAGGTACTCTACGCGTGGTTACAAATACAGATAACACATGGGCTGGAGAAACCCATGGCGATAAGGAAAGGAACTACTACAAATATAAACAGAAACACATCACTTTGTTGTCGCCCAGCTTCTGGCCAAGTCCATGTCCATATTTATGATTACAATTCATAAATACTTTACGAGAACCTCACGGGTCTTTCATCTGCTCGGACTTTCCTTCCCTTTGTTGACTTGGTTAATCGTGCGATGATCTTGGATACGTGAATCGAAAACAAAACAAAATAGCAAAGAAAAAAAAAGAACAAATAGAAGAGGAATGTCGATACCCTAAGATACTTCTGGGGATTTCAGCCTTTACGGCTGCCAACAACACCATAAAGTCATAAATAAATCATTAAAATTTTATTTCATTTATAGGTTAGGTTGCGAAATCCAACATGTCCTGTGTCAAGAACCCTGTTACCGATAACTGGAGGATGTACAACATGTCAGCGTACACTGGGCGATATATCGAGATCCAATGTCTCTAGGCTACCCAGTTCACAGTCAGGGCTAATTACGCGGGTTGTTAAACTTCAAATCCGGATGTCACCTTCACTACAATATGATTGCTTTTCAACGATTATTTGTCTTTATTTTTCGTTTTTATTATTTTGGCTGGTTAGCTGCTGTATTTGGCCAAGAGAGGTCAGAGGGTTTTTACGACAAATACCAGCTGGCCATAAAATCAAGCCATTGTACTTCCTATTCAACAATCTACTCTACATTTTTGGCCAAGCAATCTCAGGCAGCGCGATTGTTATATTTGGCAAGAGACGCTGTGGTGCAATAATGGCTTAAACTTAAATATAGAAAAACGGTTTAGAGCCGGCCTTAATTAAGAAGTTCTACTTGGGTATTTGGCAACTTGTTTTAGCACTTCCTAAGGCCGCGCTTCACTCTAAATAAAGATTGCATAATTCTGGCCAAAAGTTGCAACACGATTCTTTCCCATTTTGGGCAAAGGCAGCTTGGAGCGAAGTTTCTCGATTGCCAAACCACAGGCAGTGGAATTCTAATTGAGTTTCTTCCAGTGCAGAGACCCAAAACAAAGGCGCCTCCATTTCAGGCCTCTTCAATGGGCAACAGTACACAGATAAAGCCAATGAACGCTATCATTAAACACACATTGAGTTCAAACGCGGTCTCGGTTCTCTCTGTTTGTATTTTGAAGTGTGTGTGTGTGGGGACTCGGATGTATCTGGTGGTTGGGTCTACAATTGTTTTGTTATCTCAGCTCTGGTTGTTAATTGCTTTGCCTAGCAAGGCCCCCAACAGCTACAAGGGCTAACTGTAGCCTCTTTATCCATCAAGTCTAGAAGTTTCCTATTATTTGGTGGGGTATTGTATCTTCCAGATATTCTCTCGGTTACTTTCAGAGACCAATGGCCAGAGGCGAGTGAATGACAAAGACCCCAACCACATCCACATCCACATCCATCGAGAATCGGAGTCAAAGCAAGCCAGCAGATTGGCTCTGACCTTACACAGATACTGTCGGGAACACACACCATTGAAACCTAATAATCAAGAAGCACTTAAATGGCAAGCAAGTAGAAAAAGAAGCAGGCCCCAAGCTTCGACTCACTCGACTCTGACTCTGACTCCGACTCCGTTCAACCCAACAAACTCAAACAAAATCGAAAAGGTAAAAACAGACAGATAGTTTGAGGCAAACGAGTAGATTGCAAGCCACAAGAATCAACCTCAACCCCAAAAGCCAGCGAAACAGCTGTTGACCAACTCAAAATTCAGTGTTTTTTTTTTGGATTTTTGCATAAAAACCTAAGCAGCACAGGCAAATAAACGATGGCCGGTGGACTATGGACGATGGACGAGAAAAACCAATAACAAATTGTACATCGAATTATCTTTAATGTTGTACCTTGGCAAATGTTTTGAAAACGCTCGAAAAAGGCTGGCTGATTGAAGTGTTTCGTTGAGAAAACGTTTTCTTGAATTGGAATGGATCTTTGCTGTCTGCTGGCTTTGCGTGCAATTAAACGCTCTTCGAACATACTGAAGCAACTACAATGTTAATGAGTCCGATGTGAGAATAATTAATCAGTTTTGGTTAATTGCTTATCATTACAAGGTTAATCAATAAAGGCAAATTAAAAAAATGAATGGCCTACGCATCTGAAGAGATCTTTTGGATAACTTGGATCATTGATCCCTAAGCCCGCTGGAACAATAATTACTTTAATTAGAACCGGTTTGCTTAAAAATTAGTCATTGAACCTTAGAAGTGTTCTCGGCTACAGCTTCCATTAAGGCCAAGTTAAATTTTAATATTTAAATGGCTTTAAACCGGAATATTATGATTTATTCACTTAGCAGTTTTTATGTAAGATTAGTGGAAGTTGGGCAGGTGCATATACTAGTATGTATAATACTGAAAGTTATAGATGTCTTATAAGGGAACTACTTCCCCCGGTTAGTCAGCACCAGCTTTCCCTCCGAAATTTAAATGTGAAAACGACATTTTTGGCCTGCTTTTGCTATCAGAGATCTTCGAATTGGGTTCAGGCCGCCTTATCCGCCCTCGACCTCATCAATCACTCGATCTGGCTCTGTATCACGTAGAGCCCAGAAAACTTGGAAGCCGACGAAGAAGGAGGAAGAACCAAGAAATATTTTGTTGTGTGTACTCAACTCTAAGTGGCACTTCAACTTCGTGTACAGCGCGCTCGGTATAAGGTGTCTTATTCGAGGCATTTGGGGAGGCAATGAGGTGACGAAGGGGGCTGGCTGTTTCTTATTTTTGGAACAAACATAAACAACGGCGAGCAAGAAAAACCAGTTCCATGGGGCTATGAAGGCTAGAACATGTTGCACGTCGTCGTACTGCCAAGCAGGTTGTCTCGCTCCCCTGCCTCTCCCCCAAGAGCAAGAGCTCCCGCCCAGTTTATCATCGCATTTGGAGCATATTCAGTGCAGCAGCCCATGCTGCCCCAGCCCATAGCTATTTCGGGCCCCTTCAGCATATATATTTGTGGCTATACCTAATATTTATTTTTTCCATTTCCAGGGGACAAGAATGGAGAGCTTCCTCCATGTCAGAGAACCTCACACCCCTTAAAGGACACAGTTCCAGGGTCGAACCCGTCAGTCAGGAAGTTTTTTTTGATGAACTCGAGAATAATTGGGAACGAACAGGAATATCCAGCTCATAGTTGCACTGAGAGCCAAAAAGTACTTTGTATGTTGGAATAAGAAACTGAAAGCTAACCAGGTTCTATCTTTTTTTTTTAAGTGCAGAGGGTCGAGCCTTCCCTGCTGATGTGATTGAACGCTTTCAAGGATAATTGTCAACAGTACAGAGCTCTGCAGGAGGAGGAGGCCAAAAAGCGGAAAACAAAAGCCCAACGGAATGGCTCTTTGTTCTCCCGATCAGCATAATAATACCAGTAATAACCAGAGTGCGTTCGCTTGTAGGCGTGTCTGGGGGGCAGCATCGACCCAGACCGAAAGATATGGAACCTGAACTGCTCCGAGCAGCAAGTGACAATCGCGGAAGTAAACTGACTCTGACGACGTGATTTCAGCTGTTGAGAAATTCACCAGTTCGTCAGTTATTAACGTGTTCAACAACAACGTGGCCCAAATGCAAAAACAACAGCGACATAAAATGTTTAAAAATACTTGGGTACGCATTGGGTGTGCGAGTCTGTGGCTGGCCACTGATAAGATAATGCGGCCACCCGAGGAAGTGAGTCAAGCCCTCGAGAAGATGGGGTAAACAGGGCAGCGTAATAGAGTCCCAATAGAGTTCCATTTGAAAACATAGTATATTGCGAATATAGATTATTTAAGCTTCGTATAGCTGAACCAATTTCCATGTCACGTTTCAATTACTGGAATGGCGTAGACATGTACTATGCAGCCAGTACGACGGATGGGCTAAACTTAGAATCAAATGCACACACTAATAAGCACTACTTGCACAATCATACTAAACAATAAACACCCATAGACCCATAGAGTGCAGTAAAAAAATGAAAACAATAACCAGAGTGGGGGGACGAGCGAGGCTACAGTGGCAATTGCAGTTGAGTGTTTGTTTAGATGTTTGTGCGCCTGATTCCATAATTATTTTTCAGTGTGTGCCAATGTCAGGCCAGTTGTGGGGCCAAAAGCTAAGCCAAGAACTTTTGTTATGCAAAGAGCGTACCTCTTACGCCCGCCATAAGGCTTTAAGGCTAGAGATTATGGCTAAAATAATTAAACAAAATAATTGACATTTAAGTTGACTTGTTTCCTGTTGCATTACTGCCACTACCAACTCTCTTTTTGGCCCAAAACTCTGGCCAACTCTAGAAGAGAACATGCGCGGGGAGAGCGTGAGTGTGTCTGGGGGCTTCTGCATTGGTGGTTGTGAGAACTTTATTGATTAGTCACAAGGTTAAGCCCAGCAGTAGCAGCACCAGCAGCTGAGATTCCTACATAACAATAATAACATTTCTGGCTTGACCCACCCACCGACAGTTCCACCTGCAAATGGTAACTCACCTTCAGCTGGGCCAGGTTGTTATCGCGGGCAGCATTGAAAACAACGAATTTGTAATCCATTTTTGTGATTTAGTTATTAGTTTGGCATAAGTGCCGCGCAATCTCGAACAGAAATTTATTTTTATTTTTATTCTATTTGTGTGTTGTTGTTTGAAGAATTCTTGATTCGTCAAATATGTAGATTGGGGAAGATTGGGGGAGAAGAGAGCTACAGCTACTGCGAGAGAGCTGGGAGCTGGGAGTGAGATTCTTGAGGATGTTGTTGTTGTGGTTATTGCTGCTGGTTTATTTATTTTTTTTTTTGGGTTTTTATAAGTAATTTATTTAGATGTGGACTTTTTCTGCACAAAAGAACTTTTCAACCGAGAGAACATATAGACGTAAATATACATGGGGTATATAACAATTGCGTTTTTTTTTTATTACCGCCGCCACAGACGCCTGCTTCCGTATTTTCTTTAGCGATTATATATAAATCTTTTGCGCACTTTTCTTTCTCTTCTTGGGGGCCAAAAGCAGGAAGACAAAATTTCTTTCTTTCGATTGATTCTCGGAGATTTCTCCTCGGTGTCGCCGCGTGTCGCGTCCGAGTCGTTCAAATTTTCTTATTATTTGCTGCCCTCCTATATTATTCTGTACCAGAATCGGTTACTACTCTGTGGTAGAGCATTTAACGTCCGTAACGTAACGCACAGCACCCACGCTTTTCGATTCGATCTGATCCGGTCCGTTCCGTTTAGTGTCCGATGCCACCAAATTCCTCGATGCCGCAGCTCTGCCCGAGACTTTGAGACTATCAAAAACACGTTCGACAGCCAGGAAGGAGTACCGATGTTCTATGTGATCACAATTTTGGATTATTTGACGATGCGAACCGAAAACAGCGCGCGCTGCAGCGCCTTCTACCTGTCTATGTCGATTTTACCTGGTCTCGCCTAGTTCGAAAATATTTATTTATCGAAATTGATTTCCTAAAATATCGTGGTATTTTTCTCAAAAATACCATATTTCGTTTTGAGTGGGAAGTATATTAATCTTTGGTCACACTAAGGTTACGAACGAGATTTGCCACACTGATTTTTAAGCTTTTCTGAATATTTAATATATTTATCGCTCTTCCTGGAAACAAACATAAATTCATATTTTTCTTCAAATATGAGTTTATTTTTATGTGTTTTTATTTAAGTCCAATTTTTTATTTACAATTTTTTAACTTTTTAGTATTTTACCTTCCCTCTTTCCTACAAAAAAAAGAGCGAACTGGTTCCAACATCCAACGAATTCTTAGTTATGTAGTTATTCTTTCCAATTAGTATCAAAAAATACATTCATAGTTAAATTTTATTCATTCATAGTTACTATTTAAGGAACCCTAATTTAAGGGAAAGCCGCATTTTTAAACTTAAAAGATACCCATGTTGAGCTTTATACTTTTTTTTAGTCCCATGGTCACACTTTCAGACGTTGCAGCTAAAGTTGGCTGCGCTTCAAAGGCGCGAATCCAAAATGATTTATAATAGGTTAATGATTTAACAATTAAACAAGTTAATGATTATTTAATTTACTTTGGTTTATTTATTGAATTTATTCCACACAATTTCATATGTATTTCGAATTTTGCTTCTTATTTTTTCCATTATGTCGTAAACAGTTACATTGTTTTACATTGTACATTTGAATATGTTTTACTTAATATTTACTATTAATTTTATTTCATACTTGTATATATCATATGTATGTATTATATGGTTATGTTTATTTATCATATGTATGTGTTTGTTTCAACCAACAAAAAATGTAAACATAATAAAAACAATTTATTACCGATTAGTTGGAGTTTTATTAGATTATACTTGATTTATTAGCTTTCGGATTCTTTAGTACTCATATTTAATTTGTTTACAATAATATAATTAGTTAAAGCTACAACTTAGTGCGCATTCTTGTACTTTACCAACAACTACAACAAAAGTATGACACATAAACAATAACAAAAAAGATTGTATTGTCCAACAACAAAGAACACACAAAATAATATTCTTTAAATGTTTGTTGTTAAACGGAGAAAATGTAAAAGTCATTATAACGAATTTTTCCCTTTTACTCTTTTCATGTTTATATCACAAGTTAAAATTTTGATTATTGTTTGGTCAATTTTTTTTATAATATTATATATAATGTATATATGGTACTTGTATATATATGGTAGTAGGTATGTGTATAAATTATGTACATAAGAAAATATACTAATAGCATAATTTAATAAACATATTACCGATACTTTTCTCATATAAATTGGTCTAGATAATCAAGTCGTGGTGTTTTATTCAATTGTAGAACTCTTAAGGATACGTTCGGGTTTGGGCTTCGGTATACAGAGTACAGTACTAACAATTCGAGAGTAATACATGTATAAATATAGTTAAAAATAGTTCACTTTACTTCTGGAGATTAGATAGAAATTCGAGTTAGTTTCATGCGTTAAGTTGAGAGAGTTTTTAGAATTATAAATTGGTTTTTATTTTCTAAAAGTAATGTTTGGTATTGTGCGAAGACCGCCAAGACGATGTGGTTGTGTACTTTATAGATTTTAAGGATATTTTTTGATATGGTAGTTGGAAACTACTGATATTATTAAAGGATATCTTAAAGTCAGAAAGTAAAAGTATACAACACACAATATTAAGAAATATTTTAAGGCTTTAAGCAGTATTTGAAAATGCAATCCCAAAACAGGACTAAAAAAATTATGATATAATAGTCTCTGAAGGTAGTTTCCCATTAGTTCAAGGATATGTTTCTTGAAATATTATTTCCCATAGACTCTATATACACATTCCACCACACCGCTTGCGGTCCTCCCTCTTGAGCTTCCAACTGCAGTGTTGTGTTGTGATTCAAAGCGCAGGCAGGTGAGGATTAAGCCAGGCCAAGACTGAAGAGCCATCAGACCATCGACTCTCTGACGCGCCCCTTTACCTGTAAATTAGTTTCGAAAACGTTGTATACTTAGAGATAGGCGTGCATATATATGTTTGGGGTTCGATGCACTTTAGACGTAGGTGGTGTAGGGGGATTTACACATAGACAGACGAGCGTGCGATATGTCGGGACAGGTTGGGTTGTCGCCTCCCCTTCCGCTTCCGTTTTCACTACCATTTCCGTTTCCGTTTTCCTTGCTGTCTGGGGCTTCGCTTGCTTCTCCCTTTATCCCTGTGGGTTATGGGGAGAACACTCGCAGGGATCGCAGCAAAGTGGCCAGGACATTGGCCAGACATTCAGCCTGCAGCGCCAGCTGGCCGGCTCCGACGGGCCCGATTTCCACGCCCACCAGCTCCCTGAAACTGCTCGCCACATCGTGAACTTTAAGCACTATATTCCGGGTCTGCAGCGGAGCCGACGTGTGCCGGGTCATGTCCTGCGCCAACTCCGTAATCCTGCGGATGGCTGTCAGGCAGGACGTGAGATGTTCCGGCAGCGTTATCAGCGTCATGTCCGACATGGAGGCCACCAGGAACTTGCTGGCCGTCACTAGGGCTAGAGTTTGTTCAGTAAGTTCGTTTCTGGCCCGCTGGAACTTCTCCTCGTCGATGGAAGCACCTCCGCCCGCGGCCTGTGCCGCCGAGCACTGCGCCGCCACCTGGTCCAGTTTGATCAGGAGACCCGCCATGGCCACATCTGTCTTGGCCAGAAGCGCCTCGCCATCGATTAGGTGGCCATTCTTTATGAACAGTTTCTCGCCGTGCAGCTGTTGGGGTTTCTTCGGGAGCATGGGAAGAGTTCCATTGGTTTGGTGGTTGTTGAACTGGGGCAGTCGGACAGTGGCCGGTATAGGTGGTGAGTAGTGGGCAGGTGGAGGTGTTTGTGCAGTTGACGATGCGGGATTCACTCCATTCTGGGGACGCGGGCGACTGGCGATGGGCGGCAACGGGGGTTTTTTGGGGCCACTCACCAGAGATGTTGCGTTTGGGTTAGGACTCTGATTCCCGTCCAGTGTGGGGCTTCCGCGGGGCGGTAGCTGCGGCGGGCAGAGCTCTCGCCGCTCCGGCGGCATCACAGGGCTCGTGGCAATCCTAACCTGCTTCTTGGGAGAGTACCTCTGCAAGAGTTCCGCGCTTTTCGGGGGCCGAGCCGGCGGCGGCGAGAGCTGCTCCGAAGTAGGTGTTCTGGGTGGTGGCTGGAGCTCTTCCTGGTCTGCGTCCTCCTTTTTGCTTGTCGGGCAGCAGCTGAACTTGCTCTTCCGCTCCACCGTGGCGTACTCGATGACGTGGGGTGTGGAACTACTACTGTTTCCGTTGGCCACCGACTGGAAGAACTCCCGCTTGGCCTGCACCGAGTTGCTGTACAAGCACTCCGTTTCCTCGGGCTGTGCCACTTGCTGCACCGCCTGCTGCTGCTCCAAGTTCGGAGGTGGTGGTATTATGAACGACATTATCTCCTCGGGTGTGAGTTCCTTGGCGGGTGTTGCCTTCTGTGTGGGCGGCGCCACCATGATCTGCTGCAGGAAGCTGTCCAACTCCTCGGCCTTGCCCTCGAAGCCCTTCGGCGGGGCGGCGTTCATCAGGGACAGGGAGTCCAGCTCGTCGGGTGTTTGAGGTGGCGGAATGGCACGTAGATCGATAAGATCCGTATCGGTTTCAATGAAGGTGTCCTCCCTCACCTCGAAACCGTAAATCTCGGAGAGCTGGCGGGCAGCCACATCCGTGTCCGCAGACGCGGCATTGCTGATCTCCTTCAGCTGCTGCAGATACTCCCGCAGGTTGTAGTCCTTGGTCTCGGCCCCGAAATGCGTTCCATCTGGACTGTGAAGGCCGAAGCTGCTGCGCTGCGAGAGCTGCTGCTTGGCAGCGGCTCCTGGCCCGGTACCAGCCGCCTGGAGCAACATCATCTGGGGTCTTCGGGCCGTGGGCGACTGGGCAGGCGAGGCCACCGACTCCGAGTCACTTTCACTCTGCGAGAAGTCCGTACCCAAGGCCTGCAAGTCACTCAGAAGCTGGCTGAATCCATTCAGTTTCCTCTGTGGCCTGGGACTGGACGTGGTGCAGAGACTGGGCTTCCTCTTCGGAGTGGCTGGGGTGGCAGGAGCGGATGAAGAGACGGGCGCAGTTTCGGGAATGGCGTTCAGGCCCTGGGTGATGCCACTCAGCTCGTGGTTGATCGTCTCCGCCAGCAGGGTTAGTGAGTCGCTATGCTTCATGCCGGGATGCCCCGGTGGTATGACTACCGATGACCCCAAGACCAAGCCGCCCTGTGACTCTTCCGTGGAGGAGACCTTGCTGCTATTGAGACTGTCGCAGTCAGAGTCGAACTCCAGCATTGCCACGCCACCACCGCCTCCTCCCTGCTCTTGTTCGCTCAGATACTGCTCGGATGTCTGGACCAGATGCTGCAGTTCCTGGACTCTTCTCAGCACCTGCTCGTTCTTGGCCTCCAGCTGCTGACTGCCCAGATGGCTGCGTCCCTCGCAGTAGTTGCTGCCGCTGCTGTCGCTCAGTCCGGAGTCCTTGGCCGCCTCCTCCAGCAGTTCCGTGGCCATCACACTGTGCAGATCCAGGTCCGTGGCATAGGGAAGGGAAGCCGGTGCCTGGATCGAGGACTGGTGCTGGAGCTGACCCTTTTGTGTGATGGGATGGTAGGGCGGCGACATCAGGAAGTTGACGCTGTGCGCTCGGGTGTGGAAGGGCAAAAGGTAGCTCCAGCCAGCAGGAAGCACTGTATGCTGTGCTAGGAATCCTGGGGCATTATCCTCGTCCTGAGGCTCTCGCTCACGCAATACATTCAACATGTTGCCTATAATGTGGACGGGGGCTTCAATAGTTAAGTCTTAAGCGTTTTATATAATATCACTTACCTGTAAGGAGACGATAGTAGCCTCCCAGGACTAGGCTGAACTCGCAGGCATCACGATCTTCCATGGTGAACTTTACAGCTCGATCTCCAAGCATGAAAATGGAGACGCTGCAGGTTACATCGTCCTCGCGGTTAACCACCACATGGGTGAAGTCTTCAATTGCGGATATGGGTTGGGGCTGATTAGAAAAGAAGCTTAGTTTTTGAAAAAATATCGAAAAATGTCCTTAGCTTACCACAGAATTGCGGGCACTGGATATCTGGCTGAGTCCGAAACGTGGACTCACCAAAAGAACACGTTCCATGCCCTCTCTTTGGTTTGTGCTGAAACATTTGGCTCCATAGCTGGGTAAGCTAGCGATTATGTCTAGATAATGGAGTTTGGCCTATAACGAGTTAATTTATTAAATTATTCCAAGTTCTATCTATTTTCTATATAATCTAATTTACCTGCAGCTGTGTGAGGACTTTGCTGGAGGATCCTGTCATCTCTGCGTTGAGCTTAAGGAAGTGCGAGATTAGGCGGCGCAGCTCCTTCCGCTTCATGCCCTCGAATAGGGTCACTGGGACAAATCGCTCCAGACCGAACTCGCGTCTGAAAAAAAAATGGAAATTCAGCTTTGGAACTCTGAGCCTCTTAAGGATGCAGGTGAACTCACTCGACGAGCTTCACGGTGAGCTTGGCGGGCGCAAAGTTGTTGGCCAGGGCGTGCTGGTGCATATGAAGGGCCGCTAATCGGAGGGCCAGCTCGGGCTGCAGCTCCGGGGCGAAGCGCTCCTGGTTGACGTCGTTGCAGCACTGCATGTACAGGTAGTCCAGGGCTTGGAGGTCCCTCTGGGCCAGTTCGGCGGCGGAAATGGGCACGAAGGTGATGCGGAAGAGGCAGCGCAGCTTGTGAGCTCCAGGACGAGCGGCAATCTAGATGTACCACAAATATAAAACATTTAAATATGAAAGATGATTACTTAGACCATTTCCTTAAAACAATATAATTTAACTTCCATGGGAAAATTATTTAATTTAATAATTTATATTGTTTACAGCCCTTTCCTAACCAATTTCCAAATCAAAATTTCATCGCAATTAAAAAGCATGTGTGGCGAGGAATATTTAATTCACTTTCCAAAGTAGCTACAAATTGTTTTCCATACGAAAGCTCATCAAATATGGAAAAGGGAGAAGTGTTTTATTTAAAGGATGTGTTTACCCTTGCCAGCGACTCCTGGGGGTCCAAAAGGGTGAGCTTGTTGCGCTTGAGACTCTTCACATGCTCCAGGACGAGGCTGAAGAGCTCTCCGCAGCAGAGACACAGCTTGTCCAGCAACGAACTGACCACATCCTGGACCGTCGTGGTGGCATCGTATTTGAAGGACTTGGTCTGCCCGTTTTCGAGGAAAACCTTTAGAACGTTGGCCATGGGCGGTACACAGATGTCTCCCAGGGAAAATGCGGAGGTCTAGAAAACGGGGTCAGAAATTTCCAAAAAGTTACACCAGAGATTGGGATTTACTCACCGGAAACAGGGGAGCTCCATTAACGCACACACTCTCGGCGAATCGAACTCGACTAGGACGCGATCTCAGCTTGGCGCGCTTGCCCGCGGAGAGGAGCGTAGACTTCCTGCCGGGCAGGACGCAGTGGGCCATGGGCTGGCACACCAGGAGGTTCACCTGGGCCTCGCAGGCCCGCACTAGTTGGATCACATGATCCCGTGGCGCATCCTTCACGTCCTCACCGTTCACCGCCAGGATCTGGTCTCCGGGCTGCAGCTTTCCAATGCTAGGACCTCCTTCAGTCACAAATCTCACGATGACGGGACGCTCGCTTCCGGCCACGAATCCGAAACCCAGGCTGGCATTCCTTTGGAGCTGAACCAGGCGAGGTTCCGGCGGATGTTCATCCCAACGTATGCACTCGGGAGCCTCGTAGGTGGTTGTTTTGTTAAGGTGGCTGGAAAGGATATATGAATAAAGATACTCGAAGGTGTCTTAGAATGATGGTCTACTCACTTGATGTAGTAGGAACGACCTTTGGAGTCTATGGCACGCTCCCAACCATAGGAAAGCTCCTCGTGCTTGCTCCAATCCTCGCAGGCGGGTAACCAGCCCGAGGACTGTGTCATGTGGCTGGAATAAGTCATAAGAAGATGCATCATGAATATTGCGATTTCCAGATGCATTCAGCTGCTCAGTCAGCTGTCAGATTCCATTTGTAATCCAATACAGGAAAAGAAAATGTATACTTTGTATAAGTTGAAAACCGCAACTATAAGCAGTCCTTGGAAAGCGATCTAATAAGCATAAACCACAAAGAAAAACTGAAAACCAAGCTATTATTTAAAACAGAAAAAAAGCCATAAAATTTTAAGACCAATTTGGTGTTCAATGTTGGCTTTCTTTGTGGTTTCTGCTATTTATAGTTCTTGGCAGAACTCGCCCACTTAAGGTTGGCACTTCACCCACATTGACCCTGAACTTGCGGTGGCCAGGACTACCCACCCACAGATTCCTGCTAATTATGTATACTCCGTGCTGAAGCTGGGCAGCAGCAGACATTCTTGTCCCTGGGGCTAGAATAGAACTGCATTTCAATTGACATTAATCAAGACTAATTGAGTTATTTGCTCGACTATGCAATAAACAGCAACCCATAATCTTCCGAAGAACCGAACCCAACCTCAATCAACAGCTCAGTCGAAACCAAGTACCGTGGAACCTGGCTAATAGAGGAGCTTGTAGGTATTAGATACTTAGTTTTGTGCCAGCAAGCTCCACTGTAGGAACCGAGCTTGATTCCAGACCCAAGCCAAATCCAATTCCAACCCACATCGAGCCACCTTGGTGGCTTCCGTTGCTGTCTTTCTTCATTTCCTGGCTGCACACAATTGTGATAATTAGTTTTGCACTTTTGCACACTCTCTGTGAGCTGGAGGGGAGGCTATAAACCCAACCACCAGAGCTGCTCACTCATTCAGGCTATCGCCCCAGAGGCAGACCCACAGACCCATAGACCCGTAGTCCCGTAGACCCACCGCCCACACAGCTCCTTTTGGCTCGGTTATGGCATTTTGTGCGCTTTCAGCTTGATGTGCAACAAAGTGTAAAATTATTTAATAGAATTTGGTGCATAATCAATTTATGTGCAGCAGAAAGCCCAGCACCATGGCCGCCTATTCAGAGCTCTCATCTAACCCGTCCAGGACCCAGTCAGTCAGTCACCCAGTCCGTCAGTCAGTCACCCAGTCAGTGGGCCAGGTCCAAAAAGGCTTAAAGTTTGGAGCGTTAATGGTTGTTTAAATGCCAGACTTTCTGCTTTGTTAAATATTCTTTTTGAAAATTCACAGAAGAACCACAAAAGAGAAAAGTTCACCGCAAATTATACATTTTGTGCTTAAAACAACAGACTGTAACTATATTTAAAATGAATTGAAAAACATATTCCATAAGCTCGTGAGTTTGTCGAGCCAAACTTTTGCAGAAAAGTTGGCTTGAACTTGAAGGCCCTTGTGGGGGAAGACTGCTAATGGCCATCCGACCATAAATCACTTGGAATTTTTGCAAAAGTCCTGAAAGGATTTCTAATTGGCAATGAAAATAAATCAATTTTAACTTTGTTGACTTTTTTGAAAGTTTTTCATGTTAAGAATTGGGAGATTTAGTGACTAGACTTAAAGTAAGATATATATTAGCCACTCACTTGCAGTAGTAGAGACGTCCCTCTTTGCCCACATGAACCGACCAGCCGGGCTTGAGCTTCTCCTGTATGGCCTCCAAGTGTCCATCAATTTCTGGCCAATTTCCGGCCATGCCAACGATGCCACTCCCATGACTTTGACCCAGAAGTGGCCCGTATATTCCGGTTACGGTACCTATCCCAGCAACACTGACAAGGTCCGTTGTTGTCGCCTCCGTTCCGGGATGATGGGGTGGTGGTGGTGGTGTTGCTATCGCTGTCCCTGTGATTCCGGGCTGTGACGGGCATCCGTTTGAGCGGGTGGGCGTGGCGTGGGCGATGGAGCCATTTGTTGTAGGCAGCGTTGTCAATTGTGGCGACGATGTTCGTGTCAGTAGCAAGGGCTTTGACTGGGCTGCAACGCCTCCTGGTCCTGTTCCGGGTCCACCTCCAGCCGTTGTTGCTGTTGCTGCCGTATTGTTGGTGGCACTTTGTAGCGGATAGACATCACTATTCGAACGCCCCGAAGGCAGTAACATCATTGAAACACATTCGCTGCAAGGAGAAGAGAGGAAGGAGAACAAAGGCGGTGGTATAAGTCAAGTTGTTGTCGGACCATTTTCACACATTGTTCGAGCCACAAATCACATTCCATTCCACATGGCCGAGAAGACACAGTCGGCCGACCTACTTTGCCCGAAACGGTCTGCCCATAATTCAACATCCCGGCCATCGGACCGAAGACATGGAAGACGGGACTCGAAACAGGTCCCCCGACAGCAGACATCCCCGTAACAGTGATCATGAGCTCGATCATTATTGCGGTGGGATAGGTTCAGGTTTTAGGCCAACTTGTTTTTAATGTTATGACACAATTTTCGATTTGCTTTTGCCGTCTTGCTTCGTTCTCTGACTCTTTTTTTGCATACATGTTTTCATCCTTTATTTGGCAGTGCTCCCCACTTGGCCATGACTGGGTCTCTAAACTGGTTTCCAATGGCTGGCATTGTTTATTGAAGTTTAAGGATCACAGTCATTGCTTTACAAATATTTCACTTTTGCAGGGAAAACATTAATCTCCATTTACCTGAAGCGAGGCACAAGCTTGCCGAAAATACAAATTGGAAAAACATGCCACAAAGGAACTATAACAAATTTTTAAACCAAAGCCCATCCATCCGTTGCCACAGAATGGATCAATCCCCCCGCAATGTTTACACTGTCCAGACCCCAAACTCTTCAATAATATCAAAGAGCATTTGCATAATGTTTAGATTCCACCGCCATCGACAGCATTTCGACTTTTCGCTCGGACATGGTTCAGTAAATGGCTTGCAAAATGCTTTTTTTTTTATAAAATTTATTCGGAATCTGAACAGGAGCAGGAGCAGGGAGTCGGTTTGAAATATATGGAGCTACGGATGTGTGGCATCTGTGTGAGAGTGGCGAGTGCCAATGGCCGATAGTGCGGCTAGTTGGATGAGTCCAAACAACAAACAAAAAACAACGTCGTTGACGACGACAACAAAAAACCAGGGGAGCAAAATGGATGTGTTTGTTTGCTAGCGCAGTTTCAGTGGACCGGCTGGAGAGGGGATCAAATGGTAGGAAACGGAAGGTGGATCCCGGAGTGGAGTGGAGTGGTCCCGGCATTGAGATAGATTCTGCTACGAAAACGAGATACGACAGAGCAGAGCCAAACAAAGAGACATCCATTAGGCGAGTGGAGCTCGTCGGCTGAGCTGATTCCAAGATGGAAATAGAAAAGGAGCCATACCGCAGAGCTCATCATCATAGCCCATCATGATGCCTGGCAGGAACAAAAAGGTTTAGATTCGACACAGGGCAAAAATAAGGAGAGTCTGTTAGCCAGAAACTAAGACAGTTAGTTCGAAAAGTTAAGAGTTCATTAAAAAAATAATATCCATATTTAAAATGATTTGTTAAATCTTTTAAATATTTTTAAAAACTAATCCCTTTCTTAGATTTTCCCTCAGTGCTTTTGGCCCGGCCAGTAACGGCTTGGTAAACAACGGCAACCGGCAAACGACATGGTCAAGTTCCTTATCCGTCCGTCTTCATGTGTATTTTCCTCCATTCTGGCCAAGAGTGTGTGGTGCAAAAGTTTTATAAACAACTTCACAGACACATACTCGTACTGGTACTCGGACTCGTACTCGTTGACTAAAAACTGGAACACTTGAACAATGTTTTGAATTACATATTTTCTTTGTTTGGGAGTGGACCGAATAGACAAGTGAAAAAATGTTCATAAAGTTGTTCGTTCATCTTATTTTCTTTCTTTTTTTTTGTGAGCTTTTCCGGGCATGGAATGCTTTGGCAAGGAATGTTGATTTGACTCCCAGTCCCAGCCATGAAAAAAGGATTCTCTTGGAATATTTTCTTTTAAATTAAAACTCGAGGACCTATAGAAGAGGTTTTTAAGTATTTAAGAGATGTATAGTATACTATAGAAAACAGGAAGTATTCGACCCACTTCTCTCTCGCTGAAACGACGATTCCCCCAATTGCTAAACAAACAGAAAGCAATTTAAAAAGACACCAGCACTTCCTTCTTGTGGCTGAAAATCGAACAATTTTCAGTTACCAGCGTCGTCAGAACTCTTAACTGTACAAACATTTTCGCTATCGTCTAAAGCTCTCCACATCCATGCCGAGTTCCGAGTGTAACCGATACGAAATACAGAATATGGTATCCGAAAGCGGTTCCAGCTCGAGCCTCCCATGCATTTGGACACCAAGACCAAACACAAAAGTTGTCAAGAAAGAATTGGTTGGGGGTTGGGACTCGTCCGGGTACTGGGAGGTGGTAATGGAGGTGCCACGTATGGAGGAGGGCGGTGCTGATAGGGGGCCAAACAGGAAGAGGGGGGCTAGTGGAAACGGGAGCGACACTTCCAGCGAATGATTTGTGTCAACAGAGAAAAGGCAGCTGAGAAATGTTTATGCACATGGCTGTGACTGTGTGTGCTGGAGTGTGCTGGATGACGTCGGGGCAATGACAGAGATCAGTGGATGAAAACCCCACATAGATACAATATACAGTGGTCATTAGAGCAAAGATACTAAAGAACTAAACATACTACTCTATGATATCCTATAGTAGAAATTTGAATAATCGAATAAAATATTCATAGGAACTTGTATTCAAATAGATCTCTAACAGATAGATGTTCTCAGAACCATCCTATTAAACTAAATTTCTTAACTTTATTTTTTATTATATTATTATAGAACCCTGAAACTATTTTCTATAAAAGTCATAAGACTCTCCACAAAAAGCCATAATTCCCATAGATAATTTCATAAATTTCCGGATAAAATCGCCACTTCTATTATTCTGGGGAGACAGTGTCTGTGTGCCGTGGACAATTGTAAAATGTCAGTGCAGAAATTGTGCGGGGCTGTGAAAAAAAATGAAATGAAATGAAAAGACAGCACCAGTCTGATGATGGGCGATAACAAAAAGAGCACCCAGCACCCATCAGACAGCACCCAGCAGCCAGCATCCAGAAACCCAGAAGCGGCAACAATGTTGAGAGCGGTGGCAAGAACGAAAATGTTGACCAACTGTAACAAATAATGGAAAAAAAAAAACTGAAAAAAAATATCAACAAACAAACATTGAAAAACAAAGTTAAGCTCTGCAAATTGTCCCAGTTCCGAGAGCTTAAATGAAAGGTGGATTGTTATAGCGAGCCACCTCCCCACCCACCAGTGGCCTTTCCGCTGCCACTTATCAAAAGCCCCCCTCCCGTCATTGAAGGAGGAAACTCTCCTTTGTGCGTTTAAATTAAATACAATTTGTGAATGCATTTATTATTTGTATTTAAGACTTCAGTAATTTGTCGCTCTTGGAGGTGGACCATAGCTCGCTCCACCGTGAGGTGCCTACTTTTGCTTTTACCAATTTCGCTCCGTTTCGTTATTGTTAATTGAAAAGAAATTACGCCGGCTACTGGTTACTGGCCACTGGCTATTGGCTACTGGCAGGTCGTCAGCAAAATGATTTCATTTCAATTACACTTTGCACTGAGTAAAAGTGAAATAAATGCAGCAATGCATATTTAAAAATTATACACACTCCATACATACTCCATGACAACAGGCCGGGGCAACAAAGAAAGTCCATAAAGTTAAAGCGAAACCTTAAACAAAAACCTTAACACCCCATCCGAATCGGAATGGGAATCGGTATCGGAATAACCATGTGCCAGCCATTTAGTTAGATCGTTATAAAAATAAATACACACATGCCAGGGCATGGCATATCCATATTCACATCCATATCCATGTCCATATAGACACGGTGCCCATAACTACCCAACCATCGATATATCGGGATATCGCTGCCGTCGCTTGCGGTTGAACGTGATTCTCCAAATGTCACGCACACACGCCACCAGCCCAGCCCGTTTGGAAGGAAAGCAACAGAGGTATATCAATTGGTTGTCTTTTTTTCCAGCGTTTTTTTCTGTTTTCACTGCATACGGGGTGGTGCAAATCCAATGAAATGCTTTCGCTTCAGTCTGCCACCGATAACACCATCCATTCATAAAACTTCGGGCAAGCCAACCTCGGGCAACCTCTGCCATGGGAACGTGCAACTGATAAGCCGCCAACAACATCTAGATAATTTGTAATGAAAAATCCAACTATGCGGTGCATACCAACAGTCCTGATCTTTTACGTGCGATGGCGGTAGAATACCTGACAGAGCCAGAGCAGGTTTAATATAAGCAAGATATACTCTAGATTAGTTGGTCTGACTAGCCAAGGAGAACCACTTTAAGCCGCTGCTAATCTTATACTAATTCAACCAGTCATGGGTTATCACAACAAAGGCCCAGACATTACAAAGAATTCCTTTTCGGGCTCATTAGCAGAATCACTTGGGCCCTTGGGCCCAAAAGCAGGCAACACAAAAAGGATACGCGTTCCGAGATACAGAATCACTCCGTGAAGAACTTTTAATTGATACACGGCACTCACACACATTACACATTCCGGCACGGACTACACACAATACCGAACCAAAAAACGAGGGGAAAATATGTTGACTTATGGCAGCCAAATAATGAGTTTTAAACAAGTTCGAAAGAAACGAAAAGTGGGGCCCCACAAAGGGAATGTGTAATAAGGAGAAGCCCCGACAGCCAGCCAGACAGTCAGGTAGACCCAACTTTTCCTTCTGTTTTTTTGTTGTTTTTTTGTTATTTAATAAATAAAACAGTGAAATGTCAAATGCAACAGCCCAGCACGAGAGATGACGAATCACACCTGACGGCCCACCTTCTCATACACCTGACATAACGTAAAGACGTCTCCTCCAAGAGAGAGAGCAAAATGAAATGCAATTTTCACGTACCCAAGTCACATATCACGAGCCAATCTTGGCCCAAACAGAGGTGTATAAGCCAGGGGGCTGTGCCATAGAGTCGTGGCAACGTGTCTTTGCTTTTTTGGCTAACCTGATTGATTTCAACATATTCATCAGAGCCCTAGTATTCGTGCACCTTCTCCCCCGAAATCGA